TTTCACACACTTCAAAAATATATAATTATTGCTTTCTTTCTTGAAATAAAGCAGATTTACACAAAATTAAGCCTCACTTGACAAAATATATTATTAAAATATTTCTTATAAGAAAAAAAAAGGTTCCGTGACCAGTATTCGAACCTGGGTTATTGCGGCCATAACGCAATGACCTAACCACTAGACGATCACGGCAGGTGACCATGCTGTAGTGGAGGGTATACGGGGGTATACGCCGTATACCCTATGCTTTTAAAATTTAGATAGCGTATACCTAGTGGTTTTACTTAAAAATAGCGTATACCCTATGATTTTGTTCAAATTTTTTATTAAAAATTTATTATTTTCTTTCTTTGTAATAGTAAAAAAAAAAGATGATAAAAATTGTACTGAAAAATTGCAAAAAAATTTCAAATTAACAATTCACACAAAATATTTCATTCATTTAGTAAAAATTTCTTGGGAAAAATATATCAACTATATTCAAATTAATAATCAAACAAGCCTCCTTTAACGAAAAACGGAAAACGAATATAACCAAACCTTTAATTTTTGAAAATGGTAATTTTGTTTAAAAACCACTATGAAATGAAAACTTTAAAACTTTCCTAATATTTAAAAGTTATTATGTTTGCTTAATAGAAAATATGTTAAAAAATTAAAGTTTAAATAAAAATAAAGTTATATTTTCTGATGTTAAAATCATTTACAAAAAAAAAGTAAAAACGACTTCTTCAAGATAGATGTTCTCTTATTACCAATGCTGTATTTATCCAGCAGTGATGTAAACTAATACATAAACAATTTGGTTTTCGATTTAAAACGATTTTCTTCTAATTCTATACAATTGAAAATATATTTGAATTTTATCAAATACTCTTCTTTAACTAAAGTTGCTATGGTAACCATCCTCAATTACGTTATTGTGGACGTTAATTTTGCATATTCTTTAGTTTATTTGAAGTTAGCAAAAGCTGTTGACAAAATAACATTGATTTTCAAAAAAATATAATTTTGAAAACTTCTTTAAGTAAGTTTATTGATACTGGCTTAAAAGCTTATTTAAATTGTTTTTAATTGTTGATGAAAAGTTGGTGTTTGTTTTTTAAAAAAATAAATATAATAAAGATTTTATTCAAAACAAATCGATTAAGTAAGTATCTAAATTTTGTTAATGTTAAAATAACTGAAATTTAAATTTTCTGTACTTATACTAGCTTTCGAAAATAACTCTTCTGTTTAATTATGGACCGCTGGTTGAAGACAGGAAATTTATGTACTAAAAGAAGTTTGGAGGTAGAAGAAGATGCAGAAAAGAATGAACTAGAAGAAGCTGTTAAAAGAAATAAAAACACTGTTGGTACATCAAATGCAAGTACTATCTCAAAAAGAGCTGATATATTGATCAATAGTTCACCAGAGAAAATGAATGACCAGGATTCCAAATTTGAAGTTTGGAATGATTCCCAATATATTCAATTTAAGCAAAAGTATCCATGGCTTTCAATTTCCAAAGGTAGACTCAGATGTAACATTTGCGCAAGTGTTAAAACTTTAGGGGCTGCAAAAAGTGAAAGAATTCATATTTCACCAGAATGGAGTAACTACCTAATAGAAGCAGCAGGAAAAGATCGGGCAAACAAATTATCAAACATTCGAATGAAAATTAAAAAGCATTGTGAGTCTGAAGCTCATAAAATAGCTGAGAATATTAAGAAAGACAGAAAAAAAAATTAGAAGAATATGCAAACAATATGAACATTGAAGTAGAAAATGAAAATATTAAGCTTTTTAGAACTGATTATAATATCGCTAAAACAAATAGACCATATTCTGATTATGAAAATCATATCACGTTACAAACATTAAATGGCATTAAATTAGGATCGACTCTTCACCCCAGATATTCTGCTACACAAATAATAAACCATATAGCCTGCGTGTAATAGAAATAAATTAACGATCAGTACAGAGAAGACTAATATGCTATACCTACATAACAGACAAAAAATACCTATTAAGGTTAATAACAATATAATAATGCCGGTCAAGCAAGTAAAAATTCTGGGAATGAAATTTTCTAATCACAAATGGAAAAACAAAGTTAACTTTACACCGCATGTTAATGATATTCTGTGTAAGGCAGGACGTATGAAAAATTTATTATGTTCACTAAGTGGCAATATGTGGGGTTTAGACACTGAAAAGAGGTTAACTTTATTCAAAACAATCATTAGGCCTGTACTTACATACGGTTCTGAAATTTGGTTCAAATATTTAAACAATCGTTGTAAACAAAAACTGAACTCCATGCAGTACCAGATCATTTTATGGGCAATTAGAGCATACAAAACCACTTCATCAAACTGTGTGCATAGCTTGGCAAAAATTCCACTCCTAACAGATTATATAGAATCCAGAATAATCAAATTTGATCTAGCTCAAATGTCCATTGAAGATCTAACTACTTACGAACCCCATGCTCCAAGTATAGTCAAATCATTCTTACACGCAAAAATGAATGAAATTTTTGAGAACACTAATGAAATTTTCAGAAGCTTTTTCGTATTAGGAATTCCAAGATTTTTCCGTCCAAATTTTTATAATATCCAATTCATTACAGATCATGGCAATTTTGGGAAATTTTTGGCAACTATCGGCGCCGTGAAGGAACCAGGATGCTTCTGCGGAGGTGAAATTCAAGACGCGAGACATCTACTTCTGGAGTGCCCAATTTTCCGGGATTTTAGGGAAAATAGATTTGGTCGTATTGGACAGCTTGATGAATTTGTAGACAAAAAAGAAAAGTATAAAAATTTTGATCAATTTTGTAAATACATATACAACTTTCTCTTGAATTGGAAAAAAGAGAAGGAATCTTAGAAAAAAAAAAGAACTGCGATGCTTGCTCTGTGTGTTTTGCTTTGTTGTTTGTTTTTCTCTTTGGACAATTTTCTTTAGTTAATTTATGTAAAATAATGAATTGAACAGGATTGTATATAGCCGAATTGCTGTAATGCAGTGAAATGTATTGGCGCAAATATCCCTGAGTTTGGGATATCGCGTTTCATGATGTTAATAAAGTTAATTAATTAATATAGCCTGCGAAATGCGGAAAATGCTTGTTGCGAAGATTTTGTCAACAAATTCAAAAATTACTATACTAATTGATGAATCAACAACCTTAAGTAATAAATCAACTTTGGTCATTTTCTTGAAAGCATATTTAGGAGGAGAAGGTATTGATTATATTTTCTTTGATTTGTGTGAATTACAATGCCAAGACTCAGAAAATATTGAAAAAGAGCTTTTGAATACTTTGTATAAACATGGGTTGAACGAAGAATATTTAAAAGAAAATTGGATAGCAATTGCGACTGATGGGGCAAGTGTCATGGTAGGAAGACATTCGGGAGTCGTAACTCGACTTAAGCAAAAGTTTCAAAAACTTTTTGCATGGCACTGCCTCAACCATAGATTAGAGCTTTCTGTTGGCGATACTATCAAAGAAGTCCGCGGAATCAACCATTTTAAAGCTTTTATGGACAAACTGTATTCATTATATAGCCAATCTCCCAAAAATTGTCGTGCTCTGGAGGAAGCTTGCCATGAATTAGGAACAAGATTTGCTAAAGTGGGTCGAATTTTAGGAGTACGATGGATTTCAAGTAGTTTTAGAACAATAAAAACCGTCTGGGAGTCATACGAGTCATTGCACCATCATTTCAAATCATCAACATATCTCGATTCCACATATCAAGGGTTATTAAGAAGATTGGAGAGTCCAGAATTTATATTAGATTTAGGTTTAATGTACGACACGATTCAGGAAATGTCAATGTTGTCTTTAGAGCTGCAGTCTAGAACAACTACTTTACAAAAGGCGGAACATATAATAAAGAGAACAATTAGAGTCATAGAAAGCTTCAAAACATCACCAGGAGAAAAAAGCTTGCTAGCTCTTGAAGCGGCAGAAAACTTAGTTTTTAGGAGCGTAACATTAGTTCCCAATGCCAAAATTATTCCGATTGATATAAAAAAATTTCTTCTAAGTATAATAGAAAAGTTAAAATTAAGGTTGTGTACAGAATCAAATGAAGATAATGAGCAATTAATTAAGGATATTTCAGCTCTAGAACCAAACAATTTTGACGCAGAAAATGTTCGATATGGAGAGGTCGAAATGAGACGTATTTGTCGAAGGTTTAACTTAGATGAAATGAAATGCATTAACGGCTTGAGAGATTTTGTTGATGATAAAAACAATGTTCCCGAAACACTTCAACCATTTTTCAGGGCAATTTCAACATTGCCCTGTTCAACAGCTGAATGTGAGCGAGGTTTCAGCCTGATGAATGATATAATAACAAACTTGCCGACTTCTTTGCTAATATCAAATGTTTCGAACTTAATGTTAATAAATTCAAATGGACCACCAATCGAAATGTTTCAGCCGAAAAAATACGTTCAATCATGGCTTTTACATCATAGATCATCTACAGACACTAGATCAAGAGTTTGTGCCAGAAAAAATACAGATGCATCTCGGCAGTCATTATGGGACATTTTTATGTAAAAGTTGTGTATGTAATATTTTACGTCTTTTTTTCAAATAAAAATATAATTAAAAATAACCTTGTTTATTTTTACCAAAAATTTATATTCTCAAGCGTATACCCTATGCTAATTTTACGACTACAGCACTGCAGGTGACCACTGGACACTTAAAGAACTACTTGAGGGGAGGAATATGGTCACGTCGTGTAGAGCGACATTGCGACAATCTTCTTATTTCCAGCCTTCACAATGTCTAATGTAAGTTACTTGTTCCCCGTGTCTACCCACGGAAATAAACATTGCGGGAGAAAACTATTTAAAGCTGTTTAAAAATTTGTTTTTATTGTAAAATAAACTACAAGACAGCGATGTAAAAATGGCCCTCTGTGTCACGTGACCATACTATTCCTTCAAGTAGTCCTTAAAATTTTCAATTGTCACCTGCCGGGATTGTCTAGTGGTTAGGGCATTGCGCTGTGGCACAATAACGCAGGTTCGAATTCTGGTCACGGCACCTTTTTAAATTTAGATTTTTTTTTTAGTTGCGATGAAAGAAATAACTCTGGGAAATTTATTTAGGATGGTTCAGAAAATTTACAAAAAAAATAAATAAATAACGTGAATGGAAATATAGGATGTTATATACAGCCACCTAATTAAAATATAATACAACAAAGTTAAGTTATTTTAAAGTACCATAAGATATAGGTGTAAATTGAATGGTATTTCAACTTTGCGACCATTCCCTATGACTGTCATTGTTGACAATATTTGCTGTGACTTGGATTAATATTCAAAGAAAAATATCTGAATGTATGCCTGAGAGTATGTTATTTATGAAGTAAAACATATATTCACTGAGAAGTAACTTATTTCTGGGTAAGCCTATTATTAAAAAAGGACTACCACTCTTGATTTGTCATTGTTCTAATCATTAAAAGATTTATTTTTACGTCGGCTCAATTTATATTAAGCTCACACATTAATATATTAATCTTACGAGTTATATGTGAATATGTAAACAAGTATATACGATGTTATATAGATTTATAAATTTATCCTTTCATTAACAGTCATTTCGTGCCACTTCTATACGTTGCCAGAGTTGATCTGCCATAGCTACAGGTGCAGAGTTATTGGCTTTAGGAAAATCGACCAACATGTTCGATTGGTTACTCTTTCTGCTCCAGAGTAAATATTTGAAGAACAAACTTGTAAGATCGTATTTTAAGGCCCATATCATCATGGATAATGGGATGACCTATCCTTAATGAAACTCTAATTTCTTTGGAAACTTCTTTGATTAATATAGGGCAATAAAGCCCCATCCATAAATAGAATAGGAAGCACCAAACACGAGTGTTTTCCATACATAAAATAACTAACCTTAACTGTCCCGCAGTAAGGAGAGTAAAAGTTTGTCTTATATGTAAGGTAAACAGAGAAAAATTTATGCCTTGGTTTTTTCACTACCTTTTTTATTATTATCCGATATTGAAACACCTGGGCTTTATATTTCAACATTATCAGGAACACTCACCGTTTTAGGTCGTTCACATCTTGTGTCATCTTCCATGTAAGTTCAACCATCTTTACACTTAAACAATCTATCTCGAAAATTCGGTTCTACCTTAACACAATATTACCCAATATATTTTGTAACAATTCAAAGCTCTCACTGGCAAGATTATCGGTAGCAGAAAATAAAACAGACACTTTATTCAATTTTAATGTTCATTTCAATTTATCCGCGCCGCTATTACTATATATAAGATAGATTCAAAAAGTTGCCGAACTTTTTTCAATTAATTATTTATTTATTTATAGTAATTTAAACATCAATTTTCTTAAAATAGGAAACTTGGTTATCCACACATTTTTTTCCAGGAGGAAAAAAGTTGTTGAAATTCGAGTTCAAAGTCTATTTTTCTAAGCTTATTTAGCTCCATCGTCGCATTTTCAATTATTTCTGATGACGACGAAAAGCGCCTTCTTTTTAACGTCATTTCAAGTTTTGGAAAGAAGATATCTCATGGGGCGATTTCAGGAGAGTAAGAAGGATGCGGCAAGACAGAGAGAGAGTGTTTGGCTGAATAGTCTTGAACAATAATGGCTCTATGAGCAGGGGCATTATCATTTAGCAATTTCCACTGTTTTGATTTGAAGAGTTGGTATCTTTTTTTTTATTATCGCATCACGAAGGCGCACAAGTATTTATTTGAATGTCTGTTTATTAATAGTAACACCATCTTTAATAAATTCATAATGGACAAGTCCTTGATAATCGAAAAACACTACAAGCATTACTTTCCATTTGGACTTGTCAAGACGAACTTTCTTCTTCCTAAGAGAACTTGGTGTGTGCCATTCGAGTGATAGTTTTTTGGTTTGTCGATAAAAAAGAAAGCACCGTGTTTCTCCCCAGGTATTATTGTTTTTGAAAAATCAGAATCATTATTTTAAATTTTCAATTAAATCTTTGCCAATTGATAATTTGGTTTCTCTTTTGTTGATCTGTTAAATTTCGTGGGAGAAAATACCCTACAAAGTTTTTTCATGTTTAAATGTTCATCAATAAATTTTTGACAACTATCATACGAAATCCAAGTATTTCTGAAATATTATCAATAGTAATTTTTCTATCAGCAACAATTAAATCACGTTCCTGTCCAATATTACGATCCGTGGTTGACGTCAATGGCCGACCTGACCTTGAATCATCTGCGATGTTCTTACGGCCATCTTTAAAGCGTTTATGCCAGAAATAAACTTACGTTCGTGACAATTTTCGTCTTCATAAGCTTCATTCATTAATGCTAATGTCTCTGTGAAAGACTTTTTTAATTTTACACAAAATATAATATTTGCACTTTTTTCAAATGATGAAATTGCAGAAATCGACGCGAGCTAAATACTTACAACAAAAATATGCCTAAAATGAAAACTACGCATGGGCATTTACTGGCGTTGCTAAATTAAATTATAGTTTAGGCTTTGTTCTTTACAGTAAAATTGATTTTACATTTTTCAAAAGTTGCTTTATATTTTATTTTTCCAAAGTTCGGGAACTTTTTGATCCTACCTTGTATTCTAAAAATAAAATTATTTTAAAATTTCAGGCACACGGGCAAGAAATTACATGCACCTGGTGTTAACTTTTTCTCTCTTTTTAATAGGCATGTAGATTTTTCACTATTTTTTTTTTATTAGGCAAATACCGGAACTTTTTGATACCTTGTATTTTATATATTTTTTATGGTTACCCGTAGCAGTAAAACACTATTTTCGAATGTGGAACAATATACTAAACAATATACTATGTGTGAAGTCCATGTATAATATAACCCTTCTATTTGATACATTTGCTATTGCATAAAGAGAATATCTGTATGTTTATTTCAAATAAAACATCTGAGTAATTATCTGCATTTACATTTTTACTAATATTCTATTGTATACATATTTCGAATCCGAGTCCGTTAGTTTGGGTAGATGGTCAATAGATGGCACTGAGTTAAGGATTTATTTTGATGTGAGAGGTGACCTTTCTTGTTATAGACCAAAATTATGAAAAATACTTATTTGTAAATCAAAGGTGATTTTAATGAAAGTTAATGATGAGAATGAAAACTTTTAAAATTGGAGGAATGTATCATTATCCACTCTAATATGAGCCTTGTTATGTTAATATGGAAGATTTAAATTACTTTGATCGATGTATTTTATAAATATTTAACACAATAATTCTTATTATCTTCTTACTGAAATGATAAAAGTTGAGGAGGGCTTTGTTCATGAGTGATGAAACCTCCAAGTGGTGTCGCCAATTCAATTTACCAGGTTTATGATTTCCATTTTATGCGCCCACTTCTATAACACATATACTATCTTAAAAAGTGATTGTTTTACACAGAGTGTCTATTTTTGTCTGGATATTATTTGTCAATGTTAATTGAAATTGACTACTTGATTTGTTCAAAGTGACGCTTTGGAATATAGATTGGTCTCTATAGAGATATTAAAAAAATGTTAAAAATGTATTAAAATAGTTTCACTCTCTTATCTTCTGAATGATACCACTCTCTACAACTGTGACGATTGCACGGGAGAGAAAATAGCTAGACAGAAATTTATACTTGCCTGAATATTTCCATATATATTTCACACTCTTCTAAAATAAAATATATAATATTTGATTATCCGATTAAATTAAAACACCTTCACAGAGTAGAGTCTTTACAAGTTAAAAAATACTCCAAAGAAAAAAATGTGCCGTGACCAGGATTCGAACCTGGGTTATTGCGGCCACAACGCAATGTCCTTACCACTAGACGATCACGGCAGGTGACAACTGAACACTTACTGGGTTACTTGAGGGGAAGAAATTGGTCAGGTGATCTAGAGCAACATTGCAGAAAACTTCTTATTTCCAATCTTTACTATGTTCAATGAAAGTAAATTGTTTCCTGTGTGCACTCATGGAAATAAGCATGAGAAAAAGTATTTTAAAATCTGTTTAGAAGCTCAATAGTTTTCCAGTAAAATAAACTATCAGAAAGCGATGACAAATGGCCACTTTGTGTCACGTGACCAGTCTTCCTCTCAAGTAGTCCTATGAGTGCCCAGTTGTTATCTGCCGTGATCGTCTAGTGGTTAGGACATTGCATTGTGGCCGCAATAACCCAGGTTCGAATCCTGGTGAAGGCACCTTTTTTTTATACAAATATTTTTTTTTTAGCTAAAATAAATAACTTCTGAAAGGTAATTAGGAAAGAAAAATATTTCCAAAATAAAAAACGAAAACAATTTATTTGATAATTAAAGATATAATTTACAGGCAGCCAAATAAAATGCAATACCCTAGGGTTATGCTATTTTAAAATATCATAAGTGCAAATTGAATGAAATTGCTGCTTTTCGACCGTTATTACCATCATTGTTGATAATACTCGTGTGATTTGGATTACCAGTCAGTAATACAGTCACCAAATTTATTCCTGGGGTAGGTTATTTATGGAATACAACATATATTTACAGAATAGAAACAACTCTGGATAAACTCCATTATTAAAAAATACTATCACTTTTATTTTGTCATTGTTTCAATCAATAATAGTTTATTTATTATCTTGACTCAATTTATATTCAGCTCACTCATTAATAAATTAATCCTATGAGTTATATGTAAATAATTGTATAAACGATGTTATATGGAATCAGAAACCTATCTTTTGTTGGGACACCTCGTGACCATAATATGCCAAAATAACCCAGAACCCCACCTAACCTAACCATATCCCACCTTTGTCCATCTAAGTCACAAACCTCTGGTGATTGCGAGGTGTCGAGATGGAGCCTGAAGCCACCTTTAGCCTTGGCAGCACCTAGCCAGAGACTGAGATCCCCTTCCTGCGGTCAAGCCACCTGACCTTTGGTGGATGACCTGGCCCTACCAAGCTAGTCTGAGATGGACTCAGACGTCCCTTCCTGGTGGTCGAGCCACATGTCCGATGG